TTGATTATTATCTGTTCTTCTGCAAAATTGTGTGGCTTGCTGGAGAGGTAGAGAAAAAAATAAGTCTGAGCTCAAAGAGTTGAGATGGCGCAACTTTGCAACGAAAGAATACTACTTTGGGCAACCAGAAATATATGACTTTTTAAATTTCATTGTTTTGGGCCAGTGCCTTGTCCATAGTTCCCTTATTTGATGCCTTGTCTGTGTTTCGCTGTCCCATGGTTTTTCGGGGAGCAGGGCTGTCTTTGCCTGTATGCTGGGCACCGGACCTGGGGAGACACTGGCACAGACGGTCCCCGGCCGAGGCTGAGGCCGCTCCGCCAGGGAGGATGCACGTTCCGGCTGCCGGGACTGCGCTCACAGCTGCTGGGTTTGCTGAGACTCCAGGCGGTGGAGCCCAGGCGGTGCACCTGCTGGGGGCCGGCTCCCTCTCACTCGACACTCAGCCCAGGAAGACAGAGTCCCGAGGCCTCAGGTGGTAGCAGGGAGGCCCATCCACCTTTGAGACACGGTCCTTCATCTCTCCCCTCCTGCTCTTGACGTGTTCAAAACGAGAGTTGAGATTTGGTAGGGAAATGTGTCAGGAAGTGAAAACCGGTTCTCTGTTGTTTCTCTCCCAGTGGTTCCATTTGCCACCAGGTTTGCCTGGAAATCCCTCGTCTTGTAGCTCTTCGTTGCTCTTCAGGAGAGGTGGTTAGCGTTTCATCCAGTGTCCTAGGGGAGGGGTGGCCCGGGCGGCCCGGGCGGCCCAGCTCCCGCGGCTGCAGCTCCAGGTGGGGGCTCTAGGTTTGGGACTGGTGTGACCATAGGAGAGGCTGGACTGGGACTGGTCTCTGGGCGTGTGGTCTGATTTAATTCTATACCGTGGTCTCTGTCTTTGTGGAACAGGGCCGCATGAGTGGGTGTGGGCGGAGGAGCTCGCCTTGTGCCGAAAGCCAGAGGCACTGGGCGCCTGCGGTTATAGCCTTCAGTTTCGGTGTCTCTGTCTGCTCAAGGGAGCTTCTCACTCTTTGTCATTTGGAGGTGGAAAGTCTCTGATGGTCCAGGAGAGTTGAGTAGAGGCAAGTTTCAGAGGCTGGGAGTTGAGGGCTGTGAGCTGTGGCTGACTCTCTGTCCACAGCTATGGTACCCGCTGGCGCTGAGGTGGCCCTGGGTGGGGTGTCCGGGGTAGAGGGAAAATACCATATGGGCATCCTCAGTGTAACCAAATAACCTCCTATAGAAACGTATCCACAGAAAGGTGGACCCGTTGTATTACTACTAAGCTCTGCTTTGATAAGTTTGTTTTATCAAATGGGCTTTTGGGTTTGGCTTCAGGTTTGTTGAGCTCAACAAATCAGGGTGATAGCCAGAAAGTTCATTTGTTTTTTTCCCATATAACGGCTCTAGAAGTGCTTAGTTGTCTTTAACTTCATTCAAAAACAATTTCATTAGATTGTATTGTGACAGCTGTCATATCAGCGTGCATTAAAAAATACTTATCGAAACTGGCGAACTTTGTATGGCTATTTTAATATTGAAGATGGAAGAAAATAAGCAACATGTTTGGCATATTATGCTTTATCATTTCAAGACAGGTAAAATTGCAACGAATATGCAAACAATGGTTTGTGCAGTGTGTGGAGAAGGTGCTGTGACGGATTGAACATGTCAAAGTGGTTTGTGAAGTTTCGCTGGATGACGATGCTCCACAGTCGGATAGACCAGTTGAAGTTGACAGTGATCCGATCAATACATTAATTGAGAACAATCAATGTTCTACTATATGAGGTACAGCCAACATAGTCAAACTACCCAAATCAGTAAGGTTATTTGTGAAAATGAAAAGTGTGTCTTTTATTTTATGGAAAAAACCAAACAGATTGGCCTACCCAGTGTGCATGTCATTGCTCGTTCAGCAGCCTGTGCCCTGACCGTGGGAGCCTCCAGTGTGGACCAACACCCTTAAACTGGAGAAGGAACTGGGCTCACAGCTCAGGCGAGCACCGGTTTCCCCCGATGCCGTGGCCTCAGCTGCTGTTGTCAAGCCTTGGGCCTTCCCCACACGCCCCGCACTGGGTTTGCGGCAGTGACCGTGTGGGCTGCGGAGCTTGCGCATGGCGGCTCCATTATTGAACGGGCCCTGGATGGGGATCAATGGAGTGCTGGACACTCAGCAGAGCAAAGGGCCATCCTCCATCCCAGCTTTAAACGAAGGCTGTCCTCCCTGAAGGGCGTTCTGTTCCACTGGCTCTCAGGTTTAAATGTGAGTGACGGTGTGTCCCTCCCTGGGAAGGCAGGCACCAGCCTGTCCCCTTGACGCAGGCTGCAGCTGGGACAAGAGCAGAACCCCGCCAGCCTCTGGCCCTGCGGGAGGACCGCTGGGCAGCCCTGTGCTGCGGTGCAGGTGCTAGGTGCATGGCCGGCAGCTCCTGGGACTGGAATCTGCTACCCTGTCTGTGCAGAGCTGAGCTGGTGAGTGCCCACTGCTTTCATCCAAAATCTGACACAGATTTTCCCTTCCAAACAGAAATGCTAGGGATATGTGAGCAGCACAGGCATACAAGAAGGGCTGCATTAGAAGACCTTGCGTCAGTGAGCGGCAGAGAGACACACTATCCCTGTGCAGGACGGTGGCTCGCCTGGCGCTCCAGGACGACTCTGAGCTGCCCCATGCATCCCATGTGGAGGCAGAATGTTGTCTGGGTGGGGACAAGGTGGAGGGAGACCAAGGGGCTAACAAGGGCTCGTGGTCCCTTCACTTTCTGTGAAAACACTCATACAGGTCTGAGGTTTCCTGCTTGGGATTTGAGCAGCAGAGCCCATGGTGGGGCAGGGAGTGGTTCTGTCCCCTGAGGGGGCTGATTGGGGTCCTGCCCTTGACCCTCCTGCCCATGCACACCGGCCAGGCATGGGGGGCACCAGGAACAAGTCCTGGGCCTTCTGGCATCCTCAGCGGGGAGACCATGGTGAATGTGCTTCTCTGTGTTGAATCCAGAAACATAGTGAGAAAACGCATGCGAAGGAGTGTTGTCCGCTTACAAAGGCTTGGTAATGACGGTGCTCTGTGAAGTGTTTACGTTCAACTAACCTTAGTGAACTAACATCCGGTTCGTCACCTTTTCTTCATGAGACAAAAGTGACAAGGAGAGCTCAGAAAAATGGGGAGAGCCTTAGGGACTAAGACTGTTAACCCTGCCTAAGACCTTTCTGTTTAACTTATTGAGTTGAAGCTTTAAAGATGTGTAATTTTCCTGCCATTGCAGAACATCATTAGGTCGATACCGTGCAACTTTACGTAGCTCTACTGAGTTCGTCAAAGGCTGATGATAAAAGCAATTTTTTCAACCCCAGTATCTCTGATGTTCTTCTCAGGCGCGCTTGTGAGCTTCCCCTTGCTCTTGGGGAGTGACGCGGAGAGGAGGCTGATGCAGCTTGGACGGGTTGCAGAGGGGCACAGGCAAGGTGCCATCCCAGAATAGTCCCCCCCCCCCACCCCGTCACGGGAAGCTGGGGCGGGAGGCCCAGTCACTGTCTGTGGGGACGGCCATGAGTCCAGTGACAGTGCCGGTGGTCGTCTTGTGCTGCCCCTGAACCCCTCATTCCCGACAACACAGTTGCGTGTCCTGAAGAACCTCAGGGGCGTGTTTGACCTGTGTCCTGGCAGGTGGCCAGCGCTGCCCCACCTGGTTCAGGAGGCACCGGAAGCCTCCCACGTGCACATGCTGTCTTCCCAGAGGTCTGTGCCCGTTACTTTGTGAATACCACACGATTCACAGAGCAGGGCGCTTTGAGAAGCTGATTTGTTTCTTGGAAGGTGACTTCTCAGCTGTTTGGTCCACATGGCAGTGGCCCCCCGCATGGGAGGCGTCCAGGCCTCGGGCTGGTCTCTGCTTTGACCGGCTTTTGAGTCGGATTGAGTGCTGGGCTCCCTCCTACTATGGGTTGCAGTCTGCTTGCTTGTGGGATGTTTGATTGATCTTGCTGCTTTCAACTTTGTTTAGGTAGAAAAGACAAACTGTAAGTTATGATAAGCTAAAATGTGTACAGACCGTGCACAGTATAGACCATGCACAGTGTAGAGAGCTAGTATTTTCCCTCCTGGAGGAGCTGTTGGCTTACCTTTCTGTAGCGCAGGAAACGGAACTTGGCATCCTTCGTTTGTCTGGGCAGGTACATCGCAAGGGTGGGGACCCATAGAAAAGGGTCGGGACCCATTTTCTATGTTACTTTGTTTTTTCTTAATCATGGGGTGCATACAGAATGCGATTGTATCGTTTAAATATCGGCGATGACCGTAGTGTCGAAACTTTGCTTTTCTGAATGGGGTGGCACGTGCGCTCTGGGGGATCCGTGATCTGCGGTGTCCCCGCACGGTGTCCTGTCTGTCCGAAGAGACTGAGGGTGAGTAACTAGGAGCTCAGGGACAACCTATCTGTCCGTGATGAAACTGGTCAAATTCTGGAAATTTGGCAGCATAGGCCAGGAATTTCATCTTCGTTGGCTCACAGGTCGAGCCCCACACCCCCCATTCGGCTGCGCCACCCTGCCGGAGCCTGGCAGGAGCGACAGAGACTCTAATCCTGCTTTGCGCGTCACCTCGCTGGGTGCTAATTTGGTGTTTGACCAGAGCTTGGGAATCCGTGAGTCCCCGCTGCCTCCCGGAGGGATGGGCGGTTTTAGGTGCCTCCTGCTCCCTTCCCTCCCTCCCTTCCCGAGGCCTGGCCCTGCGGCAAGCAACCCCCCCCCCCCGCCCCGCCCCACGTGGGTCTGGAATCCGCCCGCCCACGCGCGCCGGGTCTGTGGCAGGTGTTCCGGGCCGCGCTGTCCTCCCGGACGCACGTCCGCGTGATTCTGTCCCCGCACGAGTCCTGCTCAGGGCAGGGTCGCCGGCGGAGGCGGGGTTGTGTGCGCGCACCGAGCGGCCGCCGCACCGCGGGGAGGCCCGCAGCCTGCAGCGTCCTCGGCGCGCGAGGTGGGGCTGCGGCAGTGAACGCCCACCCGCGGGGACGCGCGCGGGGACGGCGCTCCTCTGGTTCCTCCGCTGGTGGGCGCCGCCTGCGCTCGCCGGGGGTGCACCTGTGCGGCAGGTGTGGCGCGGGCTGCGGCCTGGGCGCGAGCCGGCAGACGGATGCTGCAGAGGCCGCGCTGGGCTGGGGCGCGCGGGAGGCGGGGCGGCGGCTGCTAGTGACGGCGCGGCCACCGCCCGGGAGGCGCTTCTGCGCCGGGTGCCACCCACCACCTGGACCGCGGGGACGCGGCTCCGAGCGCGGCCCTGCTCCGCTGATTTCTCTGCAAGATGGCTCACGCTGCCGCTTCCATTAAAAAAGTTCGAGAGGCTGAACTGGATGAAAAGGAAAAGATCCTTGAGAGGGAGAGAAAAAAGCAACGCAAAGTCCCCAGGGACCGCGCGGACCGGAAAAGAAAGGTAGGAGGCGCGTCCCCTGACGCTCTCCCCGGGGTCGCCACCTGGATCCCCGCACCGGCCTGCAGGGCGCCCGCGCGGCTCTGGAGCCCGGCCTGGCTCGCGGCAGCCGAGGGGTCGATGCCCGGGGTCCCCAGACGAAGCGACTGGGGTTTCCCCAGTCGTCGTTACTCAGCCTCAACGCCCGCTGCTTCCTTCCCGCGAGGGGGTCCGAACCCCCGCTGGGGAAGCAGGCAGATGTGGGGCGGAGGCGACGCTGTTTTCCTCGTCTGTCTGTCCTCTGCGCCGGTCCTAGCCCTCGCTCCAGCTGGTCTCCGACTGGCAAAGAGCGCACGTTTTATTTACGCTGACACGGCTCTGCGTGAAGCTGGGCTGAGGATGCTGATGCGGAGAGCTGTCTCCGAAATGTTTAAAATTCTGATTTTAGTCATTTGTTCGGTTTCCATCATTACCCTCATGATTTTTCTTTGCTGACGATAGCAGGACATGAAAAACCAGGGTTAGGTGATGTGATGAAATGTTGGTTCTCTTTACTTTAAGCTGTAGAATTGTCCCTGCCCTTTACAATATTTTTTCCTGTAAAATAGAGGTAATCTTACAACTTGCTGGAACCGGCATCTGCGCTGAGCCACCAGCCTGGCTCCATCGGGGCCGGTCTCCGTAAACGCTTTAATTAACAAAGTAGGTCAGGGGATAATTTCGGAGGATGATAAATGGCATATTTCCCCGGCAGAACACGGAATCAGTGTTCGTCCTCCGCGGTGGGCAGACGGAGCTCTGGGATTGGGGCCCCAGGGTCCCTGTGCTGAGGGATTCCTACGCTCAGCGCCCTTTCTCCTTCTGCAGTAGATGTGCGTGTGGGCCTTTCCATTTTGGGGGGGTTATCTTGGCCTGTGTTTGGAAAGACACCCGAGGACCCACACGGAGCAGAGGTCTCCCCGCACAGAACTCGCGGGGCTCCTGCCACCGCTCCCGACCAAACTCCGTCATTAGGCAACACGAGTAAATAAGACTAGCAGCAGAGCATGATCTCCCTCCTGGGGAAACTCCGTGCTGCGGGCCTGCCTGCCTCTGAACGCCCTCTTTCCAGCACACACTCCCTTCCCCCGGTCTCCGGCCCGTCGGTGCCCATTTCTGCAGCCGCTGCCTGACTGACAGGTGCCGCAGTTCCGATTCCAATTCCCTAAACGCACAGCGCTGCATCAGGCCGTCTCCTGTGATCACATCATCCTTATCTGTTGTTCTCCAGACACCGTCTGGATTTCTTGGCCAGGACACGTGCCCACGTCCAGTTGTGGCCTATGACCGGCTGTGCCAGACTAGGACCAGGCACACACTGGCAGGTCTCTGGCTCTCGCCCTGGCTTGCTTCTCCAGATTTTTGCCTTTTTCTACACTTGGGGCACAATGAAAACCTACGCTGTTGCGTGGAGAAGTGCCAGTTGCTTGGATGCTGCATTGCTCTGAACGCGATCCAGCGGGGTGGGCGAGGTCACCGGCGCATGACGTGGTCCTGCGACAGGGTCCTCTCCTCTTCACACTCAGAAGGTGCCATTGGGCAGAGCCACGGGACACCGGGGGTCACGGCACAGCTCCCGCTGTCCTGGCTCTTTTGTGTGCGCACCTGCGGGAGGTCTTCCCTGCTCCGCCGCAGAAGCCCCTGCACTGCGTGGTGTTCCCAGGGCGGCAGGTGCTGAGGGGGCGGTTTTCAGCCAGATCAGGTTTATTTTCCAGACACACCCCACCTGCCACATGGCTACGGCGCCAGTTCTAAAATTCGGTTTGAGAGAAGAAAAACCTGCCTCTCCATCACTCCTTAAGGAAGTTCTTGAAGCTGTGGAAAGCGGACAGTTGGCTGGAGTGGCGCCCGGGAACGCCCCCTCCTGGACGTAACTGAAAACTGTTACACGGTATTTTCCGATGCCATTTTATAGCCCTGGGGACACCGCAGTTGGGGAGATGACTGTGCATCACCTGCATATTCATTTGTAACGTGTCTTTCAAATGAAACTGTTTATTCCCAAAATTCAGGTAAGACCTGTGCCAATACAGATAAAAGCCAAACATAAAGCTTAATAAACTGTTTTTGAAAAGATTTTTTTACCAAAGCAAAAATTATTGAGTATTAAAAACAATTCAATTAAGTAGCCTTGTGTTTGGACTTATTTTTTAAATATTCTTTTGTAAACTTCCTATTAATGAAAATATTTTTGCATTATTATTTTGTACTCTATGATGGATCTTAAGTGGGTGTTACTTTTATTTGTGAACTTGAAACATGTTGCATGCTTGGCTATAACTCCTATGCCAAGTGATCAGCGGTGCATACAGTCTTTAAGTGGCTGGATTGGTGGACTAGGGGCCTAGTTTCAATCTCATTAGAAGTGGAATTGGTCTTAGAGTAGCATGTCCTGGATTCTTTGGCTGGACTTGGGATAGCTACTGTGTAGCTATAGTAAGAACCAAGTGTATATTGTATCTGTGTCCTACCATGCCAGAGCTAGAATAAAACTAAGTGTTAAGCAAATGGACCATGGTTAAGACAGTTGAAACAAACTAAGCATTTATTCACTAAAAAGAAGACATAGCTTTTTATAGGGATAAATTGATTAGCTTTTATCAATTTAAGTCATTTCTTTTCATGTCCATATGTTTAGTTTCTACAGTAGAATCTGAGAGTTTTAGACTTGAGAAGGATGCTAAAAGGAATAACTGACAATCCAATTTCTCACAAACTTGTACGACTCAGTTCTGAAAAGTGATTTTGAGTAAAATGTTTTTTCCACAACCACACACTATTTCCCAACTGTACTTAAAAAAAATGGAAAACAAATAATCCTCAGGGGATTGGTTAAAAAAAAAACACAATTCCATACTTAAAGCAAAGCACATATTTAAATGGTGTTTCTCATTTAAACAAAATTATCAGTTATTTTCAAATGAATAGCTATGCTCTCCACTTCTCAGCACAGACCGACCACTTTCCAATCTATCGTGACGTCTACAGCACTGAGTAGAGTTATATCACCTAAAAGGCAGTTGGTAGCACATGTCCTTAGTGACCTAATGCTTAAGACATTCTTCCTATTCCTTTAATTGGTGCCATGAAAATGCCAGTGCTCATGTCCCCTGTCAAAGGTGGTGACGTGTTTACTGAGTGTGGCCCATGTCTGACCCTCCATCCATCCTGTGATGGTCCCACCCAGCTGGTCTCAGGCTCCGAATTTCACACATGAGGAGGCAGAGAGCAGCGAATGGGACTTGCTTAACCACATGCAGCCAGCACGTGGCACAGTCGGGACTGCAGCCCAGGCTCCCAAGTCCACTGGGGGAGATGGGTGATAGAACTTCCTGGCCTTGTCCCTCCACGGAATGTGGAGCATCATGACCAAACATTCAGTCTGCCAGTGCCTCTGTTGCTGCACCTCCTAAAGGCCTTCCTACGACAGAAAGAACCCAATTACTGTGAGAATAAGCTAGGTGACATATTTGGGAAGAAACTAGATACAGTTGAGGTTGTGATTCTATTGTAAATGCACCAAGATATTTCATGAAATTTCTTAGAAGACAACATTTGCTTGTTAAGTATAGCAGTTGCCATCAATGATCAACTATGACTTTATCATCATTTTTTCTTACAATTTCATCAGGACTTCAAAATGTGTCTGCCTATTTACATTTATTAAACTGACATAGAAAGGTGATTTTGCATGGGATAAAGTGGAAAGTAAAAGCAGACTTTCAAGTCCCTTTCATTGACTTTCATAGAAAAAGGTTCTGATCAGTTCTTTGCTTTTGTTTTTATGGCAATTATTATTATATTGGAGAAATCAAGGCTCATTATTCCTAGGACAACTTTGGGGGACTGCCCCTGCCATATTTTCCTTCCTCACAGCTTATTAAATTGATGACATTGGGAATACTTACTAAGTCTATGCAATGGACTTATCACCAAGTTGCAAGGGGACATGGAGAGATGAAGGAGACTTTTAAACGTTATTACAGGAGCAAGCTTTTAGAAAATGGAAGGACGTTTTGTTTGTGAGTCTGGAGAGGAACGTGCTGTGTAAGTTCTAAATTGTGTTACAAGAATGAGTGGGAACTAGACAGAAAATGCAGTGGCGGCTGCACCCACACTGCCTTTTCGCCTGGGTGGGAGGAGGGTGGGCATGCCTGTTGTCCCTCTGGCCCTGGAGTGTTCACCGGTGGCTCAGTGGCCTGATTCCTCACCTCTGAGGGCAACCACACTTAACCAAGGACATGCACACCCAGATTTCTGGGCATCAAACCAAATACAGTGTGATTAAAAATGCCAATCACAGCAGAATAATGTGGTCCTGGGTGACGCATTACATTCTAGAACTGGTCAAACATGGAAAATTCCAGCAACATTTTAGGACATCAAGTTGTCTTTATGAAACTCTGATAACCCTCGTCCACAAGTGAGGACTTCCGGCAACCACGAGAGTGAGGAGCAGAATGGAGGCGTCTTGAACTTTGTCCCGATGCCCGCTCTTGCGAGCTGGTGGCTGCTGGTTAGTGGAGATGTCTAAGGGTTGTTGACTTGCCTCCCATTTGAGTCTAAATAAATAGTTCAGGTATTTCTGTTTACATGTGGAGGCTGCCACAGAATCGTGATTTTTTAAAACGTTTTTTTTATCTTCCACACTCCTTGTAGCTCCTTTGCTTTGCTCAGTGTGTCTCACTGAATGGCATGCGTCACTGGCACGATAAGTCTGAGTTTGTATCAGGACTGGACGAGAAAGAACCTCTTTCAGCCACCAACTGGGTAACTGTCTAGTACTAGCTTAAGGTCACAGTGGTCACGCTGACTAGATTTTGGCAAAAACAGGTCCAGGTATATGGCCTGAGATAAGTTCATAAAAAGACAGTTAAAAGACAGTGCAATCTTAATTTCAAAAAGCTACTGTGAGTGAGTTATTTGTTTTTGAATCTAAAATCGTTAAACACATCCCAATGTAACTTTTCCCCTCTTTTGTTATA